AAGACAAATTAAAACACAGAAACTTCTAATAAACAGGAAACCTGCTAGAATACTCACACATTTTCAGCTTTAGCCTAAAACCCTATTCCTATATAGCTTAAACAGGAATTCAGAACTGCCAAGGGAACAAAATATTTGCTGAGATACCTTGCCCACTTTCTCAAAATGTTTGAACTATATTTATCTGAAGTTTTGCAAGGTTTGTAGCCTGATTTCACCTTAAGTCATTCTGTGTCATGTCAGGGGTCCCTCCATGGAAGCAAAGGCCATCCTAACCTCATCTCTCGTTTGAGGTCCAGGTTGAACTGGTGTTATTCAAGGGGAGAAAGATGGTGGAAGTCAGTAAGGAAATAAGCTACTAAGGGGGATTCCAAAATCTTAATGTCCCTCTCTGCCTGTTAACACATCAAAGTATCCATTCTCTAGGAGACCAATTTCCCTTCTGTGCCCAGGGTGGAACATGCACAGAGCAGCCTTTGTACATAGAGTCCTCTGCTTGTTCAGGGACAAAGTAGTCAGGGATGCATAACAAAACTTGAGGTTTCAACAGACTATCATGGAGGCATCCAGCTATGAAGGAGCAGCTGAGTTATAGCTCTCTGACTCATACTTTCAGAAAGCAGCAGTTAAATTTCCACTAGTAAGATAAGATTTTTTTTTTTGCCTTTAATTGCTATTACTAAATTCAACAAGACACAACAATATACATGAAAAATAAAAACATCACATGATTTGTGAGTTCTCACATGGGCAGTGGGTATAAAAGCCATCAACTTCCAGCAAGAGAATGAGCCTACCTTTCTGAAAGCCATTACTTGGGGCAGCAACCAAGTGAAATTGAGGAATTTTAGTACTCGGAGCCCTGAGCCACAATGCCATATTTTCAGACCCTTGAATCAGCACGAGCTGTTTCAAACAACTGAGAGGGTATGTGTTTGTTTTCCAGGTTCGCTCTGAAATCATTGCCACCTATGCTCTTTGTGGGTTTGCCAACTTCGGCTCGCTGGGACTGGTAATAGGAGGCCTGAGTAAGAACCTCTCTAAAAGACAATTTGTTTGGCAAGCAAATCCCAAGGAAAACACCAGAGGGAACAGGCTGTGGGTGAAGCTTAGCAACATTAGGAGCTGAGGTGCTGCTCTGCTAGCACCTAACTGTGCATGGAAGGGGTCCCAGAGGGGTATAGGCTTTGGGGTGGAAGTACTGGGAGAGGTGCTGAGGGCAAGGGGAGAGGACTAAGCATTGCTAACATTCCTCCCTCTTTAGCCTTCAACCATGAGCCTGAGCTACTACAGCTCCCCTGAGCTTCAGAAGGAGCAAACTGTTTCAGTAGTATGCTGGTTTGAAAGATGAAGTTGGCTGTTTCCTGTAAAAATGTTGCATATATGGAAAAAGAAAAATTTAAAAAAAAAAAAATTGAGTTCCTCATAAGGCAGCTGGAATTACTGGCAGCCTTCTTTTGCCCTGAAGCCCAGGGGGCTCCACAGTGCCAGCAGTGGGAGAGCATGGAGGAGCAAGACCCAGCCACAGGACCAGACCCTTCAGAAGGGCACCATCAGCAGCACAGATGTACAAGCTCCCAAAGCAAACAGAAGTCACCATTTTATATACAAGCCACCTTCTTAACAGAAGAGCCAACAGTGGCACTTGGCCTTCAAATAACCCACTAAAAAATGTCACACTTTTCCTCCTTGTTTTCCCTAGTTCAAACTGCAGGGTTGGAAATTCCTCTTGTAGTGAAAAAGCTGACAGCTTAATCTTCCTTACATATATTTCTGTTTGACACACACTTTATTTTTCTTCCTAGCGAGTATTGCTCCCTCAAAAAAGAAGGAAATAGTTGATGGTGCTTTCAGAGCAATGATTGCGGGAACTGTCGCCTGTTTCATGACAGCCTGTGTTGCAGGTAGAGTACCCAGGTTTGGTGTCCCCTACAATCAGTGACCACCATGTGGCAGTGCATCAGTACGAGACTACACACAGCTGGGCAGCCCTTGTCACTCAAACACAGGTGTTTTTGGGCTTGGCAGGGTTAAAAGTCAATATGAGATGAAAGGTTCCTGAAAACTAGAATAGGAAAAGATTTTAGTTCTTCCATTATGTCTTTTTGCCTTTTTTTTTTTTTTTTTTGCTTTGTACGTAACACGACTCATATGCAAAGCTACAGAAATAGAGAAGTAATTCTGGAGCAGAAAGAGAAGAATTAGAATGAAGGAAGAGTGTAAAATAGAAAGAGTAAGGGGGAAGCTGAACAGCTCTTTGTCTCAACATTAAATTGATATTTAGGTTGATATTATTTCCACAGGGAACCTAAGTTAATGAAACAGAAATGGGACTCAGCAACAGATCCTTAATTTTTGAAGTCTCACCTTCAAGCTGAGGGAAGAGTCACAATGCAACAACCATTTTAGGGGTAAATTACAAAGAACATAATATTGATTCCAAAGATTTAATTAATTGATCAGATATCATTCAATAGATAAAATTTATCTCCATCATTTAACAATCACTTCTCCAGCTCTCTTCCCTGAGTATGTGATATACAAAATGTAGCTGAAAACACCATGGCTGTGTCTACCACAAATTCCCTATCCCTTTTTGATCACCGTATCAACAGAAACATACACATTTTAAGGATAAGCCCACACTATTTTCTGAAGCTTACAGAACTAGTACACTTGAAATGTCTTTAGTCTCACAGCCATCCATAGTATTTTAACACATGACACTGCTCTGCATATCTGAGGAATCAGGAATACCTACTAAAACGTGTCATTTCATGATACTGATCTTAAGAATAATATTGTGAACAGCCACTGGGAAAATCTTTCCAAAATAATAAAATCTGCTTTAGAAAGAAAATTGCATTCCACCCACTCCTGCCATGGCAAATGCTTTCCTTATACCTAGGAGAAGGTAGAAGAGCCAAGCAACTTCTATTACCCCAGTTCTGACAAGAACATACTAAAAATGCGTCCGAGTTGCACAACACTACATGAGTTGTCACTTTCATATCCCATGTCTCCATTACTGCAGTGAGTGCTGATATTACTGTTTACAGAAAAATTTCAGGAATATCTATGAAAGCAAACTATCTCAATTTAAAACAAAATAAAAGGTTCTGTATTTACTTGCACTGCTAAAAATGCAACGTAGCTCCATTTTAGTTAATGAAAGAACACTCATGCAGCAATGAGAAAGCCATTACCATAACTTTTAGTGTAATTAAAAGGGGCAAAAAGCTAAAATGGTTTAAGTGTAACAAGTTACTGTAGTTTAATTTCTACATATAAAAAGTGAATATATTTTTGGGTTTACTCCTTAATCCAGTTCTTTAAAATTATTCAGATTTTTTCAAAATCCCACAATTAGAGGTTTTTAATCTTACACCTTTACAGAACCATCTCAAATGGTGCCTTTTTATCAAACAAAATTGTTCATTTGATCATGCCCCCATGACTCACATCCCTGTGTCTTATCTTCCTCTTCATTACTCATGAAGAAAATTGCTACTTACTTCACAGGAATGCTGACTGTCTCCGATCTGGAAGTTCCTTGCCACATCTTATTAGGAAATGCCTCCAACTTCACAGATTTCCCTGCCAAGACCATAAAGCTAGTGGAATGTTGCCACCGTCTCTTCACTAGGTATTAAGGAACTCTTTATCCTCTGTCAGCATAATTTAGGGAGCTCATATATTCTCTGAAAACCTTTTTTTTTTATGTTTTTGGTATTTTGCTTTTTTCCTTGGACACCTGTTTTCCATGAACTCGCATCTTTTAAACAAATGAGTATTTTAATGCTGCTGAATTGTTTACCTTTTCTTGGGGAACTTTTCTGTTACAAGACAAGCACAGACAGAACCAATACACAACTCAAAATATCTTTGTTCAAACCTGAGCTATCCAAAAGACTAAAGGTAGCTTATCATACAAAGATTCAGTGGCCTAGTTCCAGTTCATCTCAAATATTGACAAAAAGATAAATATTTGTACTAGCATAATGTTTTAACTAGACACATCACCCTGACTGTCTGTTTGCCACAAGAGTTTTCGTTTTCTGTGGAAAGAGGTACCTTGCTTCATTTACTTGGTACCAAGACTAGTTGAAACTTGAAATTTCTTACACTGTTTAACTCCTTTTGTTAGGAATCAAAATTCCAATTCTAATTTCAGGGGGTTTTTTTCTCTATTATTCTTTTGACAGGTATATTTCTTCCTTCTGTGTCTTGACATAATATGTATCTTTGAGTATGGGCATAACAATGTGTAAAGTCTCATCTTTATGGTAAAATTTTTAGATTTCAACTATTCACAAAAATGTAGTTTAAAAAAATTACTCATGGTAGTATCAAGACCACCAGCTTCTGCCTGAACATCAGTGCTTGAATATCATTTCAAAGAATTTCTGTTCTTGCAATCTGATGTTCCAAAAGAGTTTATCATGACACTGAACCATTGTAAAAAATTATTACATAGTAAAAATCATCTGTAGGTACATTCCATCATTTTTATTTCTTCATTACTCCAACTTTTGTACATCACACTGATTTTAAGTCTAACAGGTGGCTACAAAAACAGGAACCTGCTCTATTTTCAGCAGAATCAATATGAGCAGATGCAAAAACATTTAATGGAGGAGTGACACCCTCAATCATTTCAGTTATCTAGGAAAATATAGCAGAGACATGAAGACTTTGTACAGAAAACCATGCATTATCCTCATAAAAAGAGAGAATATCTGGTCATGGTACTTGGCTGGTGCTTGGAAAGCCTTCTGTATTTCATTTCTCATGAAAATTTTAACACATTTAAAGTGCTTTGGAGAAAGTGTGTCTGCCTGTGTGTACGTGCATGTGTGTGTATGAATATACTGCAGAGAAAAAGAGACAAAAATTCCCACTAGAATATTCTGTGATTCTGTGAAAAGGAGTTTGTCTGATTTCTGCTTTTATCTCCTTCCCCAGTGCAGATCATTCGGAGAAGATCTTTCCTGAGGGAAACTACAGTTTGAGTTCCTGGAAAGTATGTTGCCAGATACTGGGTCAATCTGCTTCTAATTGTACTTAGATTAAGTTCCAATTTTTTGCGAGGGATAGATTATAAATAAGAGTTGTGTTCCTTAGAAGAAAGGAAATAAAAAATTTCCTTTGTAAGAATAAGTGTGAATTTCCCCCATGTGATCTTTATTTTCCATCTCTTACCAGCCCAGTTCCTCTGACTTGCTTGGTATTACTCATGAATTAAACTGGGATAAATGCAAGACATGTCTTGTTGCAGATCTCTTCTTCTTACAAATCAGAATAGAACATTTCTAAGCCTGATTCTCCTGATTTCATTTCTACCCTGAAACTGATCAATCTATCATATTGAACTGCTATAGGCATGAAGAAAATCAGATTCAGAGGATTTGGTAGCCACTTACAGAAAGCTGTGAACTAGAAATAATATTCAGAACTGCCATCCATTCTAATAGTATTTCTGGTTTTTTTGTTCTCAAAAATCTCTGCACATTCTGCAAAGATAACTATGGTTACATATATATGTATAACTGCCTGCTATGTGTAGGTAACTATGACTGCATATGAATTGAGCTGCTAACATGTGGTATGCCTCACCACCTTGGCCACTGAAGCACTGAACTGGGGAGTAGCCACTCTATACCCTAGTCCCCCTTCTTTTGTCCACAAGAGAGTACAGGAGGTTGGTCTACATTTAGAGTCAACTACATGAACGAAATGTCCAAACTCCAAGTAAAGTTTCCTGTATTGATTCTTCTAAATCTTTGTTTTTAACCATTGTGGAAATTGATCCTGGAGTCACGAACCAGGAACTTTTACCCACATTTGAACATTATCAAATGTGGGTAAACTCGGGTCATAACATGACTATTTTCTGTGAAAACAACATTAATGTAGAAGACTTCTAAAGAATCCTTTTGAGGAGGAAATTGTTATGGTTTTAAGCTTCAGACTTTTCATAGACTCCAAAACTGAGAAGTTCTTTGCAGATTGAGATGGAGTGAGAGATATTCTTATCCTATGACATTGTAAATGTCATAGGATATGACATACTTGGGAAGAAAGCAAAGAACTAAAGTAAAGAAACATCAGAAAATCCTGACATACCCTCCTAATAAAAATTGTTCAGAAGGTCTACTCTGACAAAACAATTACTAACTTTTCAATCTTTCCTTAGTTACTGCAGAGTCTATTCCAAGAAATCCAGATTCATAACCTTAGACAGTTGCCAGAACAGCTATTTACAGAGGGGATTGATTTAAACTTACTTTAAAAGATGGTGGTTTCCTGTAAAACTCAGTTTATTAACCTTTTCTCTGAAAAAATTGTCAGTATTATTACTACTTTTAATTTTTATCACTGGTTTCATATTGTTAGGTGTTTTTCTATGGCCTCATCCATCTAGGTGTAGCAGACTGCATGTCAATCTCAGTTTTCAGGGCTTTAAAAGAGCGTTGACAATCCTGATAAGGGCATATATATGCTCATATATACTTCATGCAAACCCATCCTAAAGAAATTGCATGGGTTTGATCCACAATTTTTCTCCAGCTTGCTGGTTATAGCAGGATTTATCTTTCAAATAAGTTTTGAGTCTGAAATAAAGAAATACATTATTTCAAGGAAAATTAATTGGGAACATTAGCTCTCACTGTCAAGCAGAACAGTGCTCTGTTTACAAACCATCACTAGTACTCTCCCTCTTTGCTACTCCCTACTATGCTCTATTTAATATCAACCTTTTGAAATGACCACTCTTTCCATTCCCGCTATTGTATGCTGGTTCAAAGGACTACTCAGCCTAGTAGATACAACCATACATGAACTTCTAGAAAATCCTCTCATATAGTTTAAGGTAACAGTCTTCCTCCCACAGAAGAGATGTGGTGTATTTCTTTTCCTTTCTAGGACTCCTCTATAGAAGGATTAGATGGAAGGCAATTTTTACAGAGTATACATGACATTTCCCTATCTATACCTGGTCAAAGAGATTGCCCACCTAGTTTGCTAATGGCTTAGTCAATATACATGGGACATTGCATCCTAAATGTAGCAAAAAAAGCCATGAAAGCAGGAGGGGATTGCTAAGAAGTACCATCATGCATTCAGGTAACTGTTTTCCCTCTGTCCTTGTGATGATGGTAGGAGCTCAGTGTAGAGCTCTTTCTGTTTGTTTTGACACAAAAAGGGAACAGTACATTTCACCACCCTGGAGTTAACCTGGCATCCTGGACCCCGAACTCTCAGCACCCAGGAACACAATTCTGACAACACTGGAGACAATGAACCTGCATCACAGACCTGAAAAGAAACATATGATTTAATCAAATGCTTGCTACACATGTGGTGGGTTGACATGGGTGAACACCAGGTGCTCACCAAAGCTGTTCTATCCCTCTCCTCCTCTGCTGAACAGGTGAGAGAAAACCCAGCAAAAGGTTCATGGCCTGAGATAAGGACAGGGAGAGATCACTCACCAAGCACTGTCATAGTCAAAAAGTGACTCAACTTGGGAAAAATCAATTTAATTTGTTGCTGATCAAGTCAGAATAGGATAAGGGGAAATAAAACAAATCTTATAAATACTTTCCCCACATGTCTCCCTATGCCCTGGGATCAGTTTTACTCCTGATTTTCTCTACCTCCACCCCCTCAACAATGCAAGATGATGGGGAATTGGAGCTGTGGTCAATTCATCACACGTTGTCCCTGCCGCTTCTTCGTCATCAGGGGGAGGACTCCTCACTCTCTTTCCCTGCTCCAGCATGGGGCCTCTCCAACAACAGTCAGTCTTCCACAAACTTGTGCAATATGAGTCCTTCCATGGGTTGCATTTCTTCATGAACTGCTCCAGAATTGGTCTCTTCCCAAGGGTGCAGTCCTTCAGGAACAGATTGCTCCAGCATGGCTCACCCACAGGGTCACAAGCTCTGCCAGCAGTACTTCAGTGCAGGCTTCCCATGGGGTCATAACCTTCTTCAAGAAACCACCTACTCCAGTCTGGGTCCTCTAGGGGCTGCAGGTGGATCTCTGCTCCACCATGGCTCTCCATGGGCTACAGGGGAATAGCCTATTTCGTCATGGTCTGTAGGGGAATCTTTGCTCTGGTGCCTGGAGCACCTCCTCCCCCTCTTTCTCCACTGACCTTGGTTCTGCAAGGCTATTTCTCTCACATATTCTCACTCCTCTCTTTTGTCTCCCTCTTTTGCAACAGGTTTTTCCCCCCTTCTTAAACAGTTATCACAGAGGCACTACCACTGTCACTGACAGGCTCAGTCTTGGGCAGTAGTGACACTGTCTTGGACCCAGCTGGAACTGGCTCTGTTGGACATGTGGGAAGCTTCCGACAGCTTCTCAGAAAAGCCACACCTGTATCACCCCTCCTGCTACCAAATCCCATCCATGTAAACCAAATACACTATACACATGTAGATTCAAAGATCTAAATTAACACTTTGTAAATGATTCAAAAACTGATGAAGACTGTGTGGAGGCATCCCTGGTTCAAAGGTCTTGTAAAAAAGAGAGAATTTAACCAACTTTGTTGTTACTGGCATGGTAGTGCGCAATAAGTTGTAACTAATGCAGATGAAAAGTGAATGAAGCATTAGTGGCACGACTCAATTTTTCACCCACTGGATGTCAGTACATATCTAATTTCTTTGTACTGTAGCTTTCACAGGATGTCAGTCATTAGAAGTCACTGGTAATAATTCCAGGAAAACTTTTACACAGTTCTGTGTTCAACAGTTCCAGGAAATATACTGTGCAGCCTTTATCTCGTTCAGAACATGTACCATCAACGAAAACTATCCTTAATTTAAGACAAAGTTCTCTCTGGCCTCAGTTTAGAAAAGTACTGAAATACGTAAATGAGGCAAGCCTAGTAGGTAACAGGAACATTTCTGTTTTAATTGGCTGAGAGGCAGATGGAAATAACAAGGACATTTTTGAAGGAAACTTCTAATTCTACATACCCACAGCATCACTTGAAACCTGTATACCTTTGTGAATGTGGGAGTCGTTCACTACGTGTTGCGATTTAACCTGGCACGTAGCTAAACACCATCCGGTCGCTTGCTCACTCCCTGCCACTACTAATGGGATGGGGAAGAGAATTGGAAGAAAAAAAAAAAGTAAAATTTGTGAGTTGAGGTAAAGATGGTTTATTAGAACAGAAAATGAGGGAATGATAATAATTAATAATAGAATATACAAAAGAAGTTATATACAAGGCAATTGCTCACCATCCACTGACTGTTGCCCACCCAGCCCCCAAAACTGTGGCCCCCAGCCAACCTTTCCCCCAGTTTATATAGCAAGCATGGCACCATATGATGTAGAATATCCTTTTAGACTGTTTGAGTCAGCTGTTCTGGCTGTGTTTTCTTCCAGCTTCTTGTGCTCCCCCTCTCCAGCCAATTCACTTGTGGGCTGGTATGAGAAGCTAAAACATCCTTGACTTAATGAAAAACCATTGTGTTATCAACATGGTTTTCATCCAAACCACAGCACTTTACCAGCTACTAGGAAGACAAGTAACCCTATCCCAGCCAAAACAAGAACAGAGAGGCAGGTCGTATACAGCAAGTTATGGAGCCAAGTCAATGTTCTCCAAAGCAGGTATCAGCTTGTTCTCACAAAAGACATGAATAGAGAGGGGCAAGATGTCAACGGTACAGTACATGAATACCAATTCTTTTCTTCTGCAGACTGAAACTGTTTTTGCTATGCAGTGGTTAGACTGATTCTCACTATGTAGTGCCATAAATCCATTGTTCCCAGAAGTTGTAAGTCTGTGGATGACTAACAGACTTCCAAATTCAACTAGATACAGGTAGCATTAAAGCCTCTTAAGCAAGTTGCTCAACAGTAACATATAGGTAGGTAGGTGTCTCTGAACCTCAGGCCTACCAGCAGTGGTAGAAGACTGTGTCAAGGGCATTGAGGAGTGCATGGGAAGCACTTGGTCCTTGTGATGTACATGGCATTGGAAGCACAGCCCTGTTTGGCAGCCATCAGCACAGCTGGATATGCCCTGAGAGCAGCTGGTGTGAAGCCTCAAGTTTGAAGTCTGTGGGCACAGTTCATCCGTGTGGCACCATTCCAATTCTGTAAGCAGGCCTGCAGAATAAGTGGGCCTGCTGCAATCCTAAACTGTTATCTGATATCAAGCATAAAAACAAGTGGCAGGTCACAAAACTTTGAGAGGCTGAATCAAAGTCTCTCATTTGCATCAGTCTAAACTTGGTGGATTTCCACTGAAGCTGGAGTTATCATACACTTATATCAATGTAAATCACACATTAATTGTTTCCTTGGATTTTATTCTAATTTCAAGCTGGTTTTAAAGTCTTATAGGTGCACAGAAGCCAATGAAAGTACTTAATTTGTCCCACTATTGTGTATTGGTCGGTACACAGGCTTCTGTTTTGCCTT